CGGATGTTGAAGCACAAAGTCTAACCCAGTGCTGGATGAATCACGAAGATCATGTAAACAATCCAAAATGTTCAAGATATTCATAAATTGCCATTACATATAGCCATTGACAGCCAAAACATTTGTGTAAAAGTATATTTCATCGGATGGCGAGAGCAATTTTAACAAGATGGTAAAAATAACCAAAACCATCATGACCTATTCTATTTTACAACTGCCTCAATAGTGAAATTTAAAATATTTCATATCCAGCCCAATCATGAATTTTTGGGATAAGGAGACCCTAAATTTTTTGAAAAATAGTAATCTGAAAGTTGACTTTGGGGGAAATGGCCAAGAGAGCTGTTTATTTTTGTCCAATGAAAAGTGTATGAAAATAGCTGGCATGCTGAAAGGTTTGAAGTGATTTAAGTAAGACACATGTATTCCTTAATCTCACCAGAGGAACAAAACTAACAGAACTCAACACAAAGAAGAACTTACAGATGAGATTTTTTCCAAAATGGGTGTACTTTGTAAATGAGAGCAAGTAACATTATTTTGTTATGGACATTACATAATGTCTGTAACAAAAATTACCAAAATCCTGGAAAAAGGCAAGAAAAAATAAAGCCCACTTTATGTTATGGACATTATATTACAGACATTACATTACGGACATCACATTATAGACATTATGGACATTATGACTGTATGACTTTAATTATGGTAATTCTTTTGGGAGAAATAAATGCTACATGCATACCAATTTTGTTCAAATTTATCACATCTAAGTTTTCAGTGTTTTTGACTAAACACTAATGACAATAACCATAACAACAACTGTACATTAGCAGTAGCAACACCACACTGACATGAGGAGTATGAATTTTCAAAAAGTTTGAGTCCAAGTGTGAATTAAGTTTACTGAAAGACATATCGTATTTAGAGTCAGTACCTTTTATAATATCTGAAGATAACAAATTAAAATGTAGCATGCAATGTTTCAGAAATGTAGCTTACAACAAGCAATACTTCAACTTTCAAAGGCCATTGCACTGATAATACTATAGAGAAAGTTGTCAATTCATACAGTTCAGTGCAGTGTAACTTTCCAAAATGGTATCAAATGGCTTATTAAGAGTCAATGAATAGTACGCTCACAAAAGTTCAGAACAATCTAAGTTTAGTAATCAAAGCAGTGTTTAACTACTGCAATCTGCAGTTATAAATTTGATCATTTATTTGCAAACATCTCTTTGAAGATATTTAAAAAGCCTCTTGATAAATGAAAGACTTGGAACATTGAAATGTCCAATGCCTTTCAGCTCTTTGAGCCACAGTAGACTCTTCTCTTGTGGACAATATCAATATTGCTCCTTAGAGGCTAGTTAAATGTTTTCACAACTTGATGAAGAAATTTGAATTCAACATCATTATCAGTAACCCTAAGGGCTCTTCCAATGTAAAATTGAGTGTCACATTAGAAACCTGTACTGTGAGTGTTTATTATTTTGCCTGGTATTTATGTTATATCAAGAACTGTACATGATATTAATTACCCATTTAATTATGTTGTGATTGATGGCTGTGATTATGTTTGGCTACAAACATGTGGAAATACCAGAAATAGTTATCTTAATATAAAAATGGTAATGGCATTGGTACAATTTTGGGTCTGTTCATGGAACTGCAGGTGTTGTATGATAATCAAACAGTAAAGTATGCACTAATTTTTACTGGTTTTGATCAATATTCTACCAAAATGAAGTTGCTGTGATGCACATTACATAGATTATCTACTTTTGAGAGTGGAGGTGTATGATATTCTTTGGAAGCTCTGCAGTTAAGTGTTTGTCTGGTTGCTGTCATTATTGTAGGGCGCTGCAGTGGCTAAGAGAAGTTTCACGCGAGTGTATATATTGACCATTCTTGCATGTGAGTCCTGGTGATTGCATGTATGGAGCTTTTCAGTTTTATTAATTGAAGTAGTTGCCTCAGGGCAGCTAGCAGAGAGTTTTTTCTCTCAGATATAACTGACTTGTGGGCTGTGTTCTGCAGATTTGTATGGTGCTTAGTGTTTTGGTGAAGTGTTAGGGAAACCTAATTTTATGGTGAGAGATTTTTTCACTTGTGGTTGATCTGACTTATACTTGTATGCATTATGTTAAAGGAGATTGCGCACTGGTTTTTATCAATTATGCAATTGTTGGTCACCCGCTTATAGAGCAGTACGCGATGTATTTAAAATCCCCAAATAGGTGTGTTGCATGGTGCTTGTGGATGATGATCATTTTAGTTTATCACCCTCTACAATGTTGTTTCAAGATTATTATCAATAGTTTCTCCTTGTGGTTGTGGTGATGGATAATGCCTCAGTAATGTTGCTACAGTATAACAACTGTTATTTTGAAATTTCTATGGTCATTCTAGGAGTGGCCAATTGAAGGATGCGATTACTCAGTCTGATCATGCAATTGTATAGATGTATATCTTTCTTTGTAAAAGGATCTTGGTAACCATATGCCCAAGATTGTCTGGTTGATTATTTAAGGTGCTAGGTGATGAGAGATTTGAACTTCCAAGCACTGCAACCCCAGGTGCTAGCTGTGTTTAGATGTTTGTTTTGCTGTAAATAATTATGGGTCAGGGGCAGCTAGAAAATATGGCTATGGCATTGGTGCCAAATGGATAGTAATGCTGCACTTATCCTTATAATAGTGGCCAGAGCTTCTTTTTACTGTTGGACTTTGTAATTGTTTGAAAGTGGTGGTGTATACCAAGGCTGCAGTTTATTTTGATGTCTAGGGCTTTGTTCGTGTAAGGATTAATGCACTGGAACACCAATTGGAGATGTAAAAATAAGTGTCACTCATGCCGAATTAATCTATTGGGTAGATAATTTACAACTGAAGGTTGTTAGTGAGAAAATTTACTAATTAATTTACTAACTTATTTCGGTTGACAGAATAATGAATGTCAGTGGTTGACGACCTGCCAGCAGTTTGTGGTAGGGGTGCTAGATATGAACCTAGTAATAAATGGCCTTGCTCACCATAGATCTATAGTTGCTGGTACTGGCTTAGTGGAGGCTGGAATTGGCTGAAGGTCTAAAATTCAACTTCTCATGGGGATTCTGATTTTCTTCTTTGTCTCATGTACATGACAGGGCATAAAAATATCTTTCTTCTGGTAAAATAATGTTTACCAAACCATTGGAAAATCTCTCAGCAGAATTAAGCTCCATTGTTAGAAATTATATTCCTACTGGCCTCATGAGAGTGCATGGTGATTGGGTGATGCTTGTGCAGGTCTGTTGCATACTTGTGATCACATTTAGCTGCTTTTTCATTGCAGTTTCAGTTGCAGATGGAGGTTGCATCCCCCTTCCTTTGATGCTGCATGTAGAACAAGGTTGTTTGTTGAGTTTCTTTGCCCTTATTGTATTGGTAACTGCAAGAGGTGGATTTTTCTGTTAGACACACACATTTTTGCCAGTGGACACATTTTTTTCATGAAGGTGATAATATCACGGAGAATTTTAAGTCTGTTGACTTAGATGTTATTGTTTCGGAGTTTAATGAACTGAGAAACCACGTTTTGTACCGGTACATGAGCTTCAATGACTCTGTATTGTATTGGTGACAATTAGAGTTACCTTCATCTGGTAGAGTTAGTACATAGCTTAAAAAGGTGCATTTCATATCAGTGACTGTGCAATCTGTTTCTAGGGCTGTACTGGTCTAATCATCAATAAGTAGGGAAACCATGAAGTGACGGAGTTTTAGAAGTGCTTTTAATGTCTCCAGGTGCGATAGTGAAATGGCGACTAGGGAGGAAATCTTCAAATTCCTTTTAAGCTGCTCCTCCATCCAGGAATATGGGTGCTGGGAGGGAGACCTGGTGTCATGTTGGGTGACATACCTGTAAGGAATTACATTTAGTTTTGCACTGAAAGGAATGATTAATACCCGGTATTGCCTAATCCCATGAAAATTGGGATAGTTAGGGTGTGTAGCGTGAGTTTTGGCAAGTTGACCCATAAGCAGTCTTTCTAAATGGTGCCTTCTTGCTGTAGGCTACTATTTAGTGATTGTTCTAAGCACCGTGACCTGAAGTAATATAATTTCCGTATTTGTTGTGTTGGTATTTCCTGGTGTAGTCACGGAGTTGGTCTATTAACTGACCTGGTAACAGACTGATTCCCATATTGACGACAATTTTCACTAGCATAGTGTAGTTTGCTTCTGATTATGTAGTTTTTGTCCTTGTTGGAATGGTGATGGATGATGCTTTTGTAATCATTCTTCAAGTGACCAAGTTGTAGCAGTGATCTTTGCAGGGTGGTAAATGGAGGTTGTGCAGTCTTGCTTTGATGTTTCACTGTAATTTATATATTTGTGTCTGCTTGTGGATCGTTTTAGAGCTATGGAGGTTTTAAGGTTTAGGTATAATGGTTACGCTGGCAATGATTGCTTTTATTATTAAATACTTCTTAAGCGAAATAGGGTATTATTATTATTCTCCTAAATTTTAACATTGTTCCTCTTTTTAGATTAGTTTTTTATCTTAGCAGTATAGTATATATCATTTAATTATTTTAGTGATTTGTAGGTCCACATCAGCCTTCCTGGCTGCCAATTTGTAACCTGCATTACCAAATAAAATGATGATAATGATGATGATTAAGAATCAAACGTCAACCAGCCAGAACTGACCGGTTTTAAGGCCCTAGAGAGGAAATACAAACTCATTTCCCCTTAACCTTTCAAATCGCTTCTCATTTCTGCTGTTTATGTCTCTGGTTGTTTGTAAACTGAAAAACAAAACTCTTCCTTAATCTAAAAACTGAGTTGAAATGAAAAATCTCAGATTAAATCTCTTATTAGGTTCTTTCGTTGGTGTTCCTTGCTCAAGAGGTCTCAATTGGCTATCGGGAGTTTTTTTTTTCGAATGGGTTTGATTAACATTACTTAATGTCAATTCTCTGTTTGACAGGTCGTCCTGGAAAAGTTAGAATTATGGCTACAGCTATTTCGCCATTTGCGTCTACGAAAGAGACTACCAACTATGCAAGGCTATGCCGCCTCCTGGTGGATGTTGGATCTCAGGTGCTTCGGTCCACTTTCGACAAAATACATCCACCAGCGACTCTACATACAGTTTTGGGAAGAACCTCAGTGCATTACGCCACATTGCAATCACTGTACAAAGGGAGGAAGAAAGTGCTGAATCCTACGCAGTGGGGAAAGTTGTACCCTACTCACAAAGCCGTGTCTTCTAAAGACTTCGACATCACACTGCTAACAGTGCTGCTTAGAAATATCTGTAGTCTGCGCACTCCTACCAAGGGATGGAATGAGCATCCCCTAGCTACAGACATACGCACCGAAGATGACATCGCCAGAGTGAAGTATTACAGGAACACTGTATACGGCCATGCTCCTCAAGCCTCTGTGGATGACAGTAGTTTCAGTGCTTACTGGCAGGAAATACGAGAAGCTTTAGTGAGACTGGGAGGAGCTCATTTTAGAGCTAAAATCGACAATCTTGAGCACGACTGCATGGATCCAGTTATCGAGGAGCATTATCGTGAACTGATGAAACAATGGAAGAAAGACGACGACAGCATCAAAGACAAGCTTGAAGAAATTGAAGGTAAGAAAAACATCGTCCACTGCCAATGTGGATGAATTTGAAGGCTACAAAAGTATATATTTTCAGTTAACACAGCAGTGCAGGCTAGCTCATGAAGTTTTCATTTTGGTTGGAACTAGTCGTATATTTGGAAGGTATTTTTGCGTCATGTGTGAAAAATGAAGAATTAACCCCAATGTTGACACTGTGTGTTCATTTGCAGTATTTTGGTCTGTTCGTGGGTACTCGTGTACAACTGCTGTAGGGCATTTTTGTGATTTCTAAGCGTCCTATTGAGTTTGATCTGTTCGGAATCGACTAGATATTGAATTAGATTTTATTGTTTTATCTGCACCTAAACGTGAAGCAGTGATATAAATTTGCTTATGAAAATGCGCATACCTTTTGAAATTTTCAGATTTGCTGGAAAACATGAGAAGCATTATGGACAGGAGAGAGATTGATATGAAAGAGGTGAAAGAAAAGCTTACTAGTCTGACGGCCTCAGTTGAAAAAAGCACACAAGAAGGTTAGTTGGTAGAAAGAGCTACAAAAAAAAAAAAAAGTTATGAAGAGCGTCACTGTTTTTTTGAGCAAATGACCCAGCTCTTGTGCATGATGACGGTAATCACTGGATGTCGGCCAACACAGCATACTTTGGTACTTTACTGATATAAAGGCACACCCTGGCCACCACTCACACTGGCTATACATGAAGATACTCTATAGTGTGTGGGATGCCACGGAATGTGAGATATTCTGCCCTGGCTACCTCTAGGATTTGATGGTGTTTTGACAGCACTCATACATATGTATGATCGTAGTTATCGTCTCTTTTTTTCGTATCACCTTTCTCGTAATGAATCTTACTTCCTAGTAGCGTTAGATGTGACCCACATACTTCTCAATAAAATAACCAAATCCTTCCTGCGCTCATATTGTGGAGTATTCAATTCTACATGGGAAAATAGTTTAATGAGGATCCCCTTGAGTAAAATGGGTTAGAACATGATGTATGTGGTTATTTTACAATTCCTAAGGAAAAGACTGCAGGCAAAACCTCCCACTCCATTGCAGACGGGTCTCTAGGTTTCCTCTGCGTTTTTTTTTTTTTGCCTGATGAAACACAGGAATGCAGTGTAACTCATGTTTTCATTTTGGTTGGAACTAGTCACATATTTGGAACGTTATTCTAGCGTTATGTGTGAAAAAAATTTAAAAAAAAAACAACAACAACAACAGAGGAAGGGAAAAGGATCTATTTAGTTAACTTTTAATGAATAAAGTGACTCTCACTCGGACTAAAAGTTCCAATGTTATTGCACGAAAGGGTCTGTTGAGAAAATGATAGGCGAAATGGTAAAGATGGACAGCGAACTGAAAGAAGTGAAGGAAAAGCTGTGTACTTTGACAGTCTCAGTGGAAGAAAGCAAGGATGAAGGTCAGTTGAATTACACAATAAAAGTTATCCTGCTTAACCGCAAATTTCGCCGTAGTCAACATGGCCTGTATGTGAGAGAGGGAGATATCATCCTATGTTAAAGAGATTCAGTTTTTCAATTTAGACAATCTCTGGAATAATCTCTACGGTGTGCTTTCATTCCCCCCAATTGTTCAAACTTTCACCCGTAATTAGCCTGGAAAACTTTATATTTTGATTAGAGTGGAGAACGAAATGAAACGAAGTACAGTTTTAACGAAAACATTGGCATTAACATTGGCTCGATGTTAGAAATTAACAGAGCAGGTTCCACTGCATTTACAAGCCAAATAGCTTTTGGTCAGTAAATTGACATGAATCATACATTGATACCTTTTTTCATCGTCCAAGTAATTTCTTTGGCAGTGGTGTCGTTCGCTAATTTAAATTCAGTGCCGAATACCTAGTAGCATTAGATGTAATCCGCATATTTCTGAATAAAATAACTAAACCCTTCCTACGCTCATATTGTGGAGTTTTCAATTCTACATGGGAAAATAGTTGAATGAGGATCGTCTTGAGTAAAATAGGTTCATAAGGAAAAGACTGTAGGAAAAACCTCCCACTTCATCGCAGGCGAGCCCCCGGTTTTCTGCAGCACTTTTGATGAAACCGCGTGACAAAGAAGGCACAAAGGCGTTGTTTGGTTTCCATTTATTTGTTCGTAGTCTCGGTAAATCCCGAAAAGCCTTTCTCAGACTACGGTAGTCTACGGCTCCAATGATATGAATATTTATCTCCCGAGTAATTTATTTTACGACAGAGTTTCACTGTCAGCCGAACAAACAGAGTAGGTTTACCTGAATTCATAATCTAAATGGCTTTTAATCAGTAAGCATGAATCATACACTAAAAGCTTTTTGCATCGTCCAAGTAATTTCTTTGGCAACGGTATCGTACTCATTCACTTATTTAAATCCAGTGCCGAATACCAGAGAGGCACCACAATTTTAATGCTGCATTCATTAGATTTCTTACTTATTTTGCTACTGCTAGGTATTTTTGATCCGACTGAGCTTATCAATGGAATTCGCCAGCTTTACAAGACTCGCGAGGGATGGCTCTCACCATTTCCATGGTGTGAAGAGTTTCAGTTTTTTCTTGGAAATATTTTTACACGGCTCAAAGTGGTCAGAAGAAAGAAAACGAGAGGAGAAATCAGTAACGTATTTGTTGACATGTCGTCAATACTAGACCCGTATGAAGAGTGTTCAGCGCCGAGAACAGTGTTGATTGAAGGAGAACCTGGTATGGGAAAACCACCTATTGTAAAAAGTACGCCTACGACTGGGCCACAAAACAGCAAGAACCTCAGGGCTGCGGCTCAACAGCATTTAAAGTGGTATTGTTACTGAAATGTCGAGATATCCATTCTGACGTTTGGGAAGCTATTGATGATCAGCTTCTGCCCCGAGACATCGATGAAGAAGTCAAACAACAATTCTTTCATTTTATTCGTGCAAATCAGTCCAGCATTTTATTGATATTGGATGGATTGGATGAGTTACCGTCCAGTAAATTGTCGATGTTTTCCGAATTAATTGAAGGAAGAGTGCTCCCCAAATGCCACATAGTTGCAACAGCAAGACACGAAGCTGGAAAAGAGGTGAGAAAATGTTGTGACGTGCTGCTTCAGATCGAAGGATTTACTGAAGAGCATGTGAAAGGATTTGTCACCAAGTACTTTAAAGAAAGGACGGATTTAGCCACCAAGCTCTCGCAACGGATGTCGCGAGATAAAAACCTGAGAGAAATGGCGGCCAATCCTCTAAACACAGCACTTCTTTGCCTTTTATGCGAAGAGTTTGAGGGCACACTCCCAGAAAGCAGAGCTCAACTGTACTTGGATATGGTTGAATGTGTTTTGAGAAGATATAGAAAAAGGAAGGGACTACTAGAAAAGATCGGAGACTTGACAAACCATTACAAACCGCAATTGAATCACCTTGGAAAGGTAGCGTTGAATGGGTTACTTGACGATAAGTTGGATTTTAATGAAAGTGAATTGAGAAACCATGCAAAAGACCTGACTGAATTTGATTTCTGTCAGTGCAGCCTGGTGGCAGCAAACTGAGACAAACACTGCACTATGCCTTCTTACATAAAAGTTTTCAAGAATTCTTTGCAGCATTCTTCATTTGTTCTCAGATTCAAAGCAAGGAGATGAAACCTGAAGAACTAGTTTCCGATCCAAGGTATTTCGTTGAACTTAAACAAATACTTTTGTTTTCATGTGGAATTTTGGCCATGAAGTGCGATGAACAGGTTGTGGCTCTTGTAAAGAGTTTAACAAATGAAGTCAACGAAATTGAAGGCCGTGTTGCAAAAATTGTATTGGAGGCCATCAACGAATGCAAAAGAGAAAAAAGTGATTTTCACTCGCATTTATCGAAGTCGTTTGGAACTGGTTTGAATCTGACCAATTTGGATTTGTCTTACAATGGTATTAGTGATGCGGGTGCTACATGTATTGCTGAGGCAATCAAAGTGAACAAGACGCTAACCAATTTGGATTTGCGAGGTAATGGTATTAGTGATGCGGGTGCTACATGTATTGCTGAGGCAATCAAAGTGAACAAGACGCTAACCAATTTGGATTTGCGAGGTAATGGTATTAGTGATGCGGGTGCTACATGTATTGCTGAGGCAATCAAAGTGAACAAGACGCTAACTTAAACAACTTGAAGTAAAAGGGCACTGCTTTTAAAGTAGGCAGGTTCCCTTGAAAATTGAGGGCCGAAGGCCCGAACCTCTAGGGGGGTCCGGGGGCATGCTCCCCCGGGAAATTTTTTTAAAAGATAAGTCTCCCAGAAACGCATTTTCCTGCAATCTGGAAAAGAAATCTTGTTGCAATGATGCATACTTAATCTATCGTAATAAAAAAAAAGAATGGTACTCTGGGAGAATTTGTTTATTTCACTGTTGTTTTCGGAGCCTCTTTTTATCCTACAGTTACAAGTTAAAGGCCCATTTTCAACCTTGATGCAACGCCTTTCAACCTTGACGCGACCCAATTTCCTGTAACACGGAATTCCCAGATCACTAAAAACCTTCTAAAATCGTCTTTCTCAAGAGCCACCCTGAACACGCTTGGAGCTCTTCGTACTCTATGAAGAGTCGGCGAAAAGGACAATATTCAAATTTTTTCACTTTTTAGAAGCGCTTGAGGATTCTAAATGAAGACAAAATACTTCCAATAGAAACTGGTATTTTCCAAAGAGAAATATGGAAAAATATCAGACTGCCTGACGTCTAGTTATTTAAAGACCGTGTCCGGTAGTGTCTGCTGAAAATTTTCTTAGTGTCACGCTTGGATCTCTTCGAACTCTGTGTACAAGGCCAGCGAAACGGACAACGTTGGCATTTTTTCACTTTTTAGAAGCGCTTGAGGATTGTAAATGAAGGTAGAATATTTTCCAATGAAAAATTAGTAAATTTCAAAGAGAAATATGGAGTTATTTGAGGACCGTGTCCAGCCGTATCAAGCGCTTGGATGGCTTCGTACTCTGTGCAAAACGCAGACTACGGACCGCAGACCGGGTACAAAATGCAGACTGAGAATTCGTACTGTTTTTTCGTCTGATACGTGATAACATGGCATCTTACAACTTACCGAGCGTCACGCAAGTGCTTTTCCGCGATCATCTTTCGCGATTATTTGTACTATTGTGGAATATTCCTTGCCTGTCTCTTGATCACAATCGTTCTTAATTTTTTTCAAGCCTCGTTTAGTATTCTCATTTTCCGCGCGAGTTGGTTGGCGTTTTACCAACCAGAATTTACCAACTTACTAAAAGTAGATGTGGATGTAAATGGATGCCACTATTGAATATTTAACTTGCGCAATATTCGAGAAATTCATCTTTTTAACCGATATGTGTTCATTTTGCTGACAAAAATGCGAACCAAGACCAGAACTTTTCTTTCGACTTGATGTATTTTCAACGTTCAGAAGTGTACACATACTGATTTCCCCTTAGTGTCTTATATTGTCATTGGTTTTCATGAGAAACCGGAGAATTTTTATAGGGAAAAGCCAAGCGTTGCCCTCGTGACTGGCCATTTGTGAACTTTTTTGGTGGTTTTATCTCTCGTTGGTTTGGTGACTACGCAAATATTAATATGTGAAAATCAGATTAGATGAAGACTTGAAATTCTATTAGGAACGATTGTGGCCGCTTTATTAAAAATCAAATGCAATGGCCGCTTTGTTTAAAACAAAAGATATCAAGAAACGGTCAAGGAATATTTAATAGATAATTACTGCGGTAGTCAGCGTTATGAGATATATTGCAGCCAACTGAGGGCGTAGTCTGCCTAATGACCTCTGCCCATCCCACCTCCAGCCCACACAAACTTTTTTCCGATCCCCATCACTACGAATGCACAAGTTTTCTTATCACACAACTGCCCAAAAATAAAAGAAAATTTATTCCAAAAGTCTTGAAAGTTCACATAAACCGAATTCATCTGCACCTATATTCAGCAAGTCCAAGAAATCAATTCAAACCTAAGCCATAACATGAATGAGCTGGCTCCAAGAGCCCTTTGATTTTCATTACTTCAAAGTTTCGAGCGTCTCTCTTTCATTAAAACCAAGACAAAAAACATTCATAGGCATTGTTTTTTTTTATTTCTGTTGAGAGCTGCAGAGCCATTCAATGAAATTTGATCACTGAAAGCTTCCTGAACGGGAGGTTTGTGGGGGGGGGATTGACAATAGGGGGAGGTGGGGACAATAGGGGCGAGGTAAACAAAGTTGTTGTGGATAACTCTAAAATGGTAATGTGTGCCGGCGGATGCCTACTTCCGCAAAAGCCTAGTACTTAATGACGAGTCAGAAGAGCCCCAGATATGAAGGGATGATTGTCGATTTCCTACCTGTTTCAAGACCTTGGGGAAATTAGCTGGCTGCAGGAAGATCAGGATTGGCACCAATTATAAATTCTTTCATCGAAAGATTGGTGGATAGAACTTGGTCCAACAGACTGTAAACAACTCTTATAAAAATTTCTTACAAAGGAGCTCTCTTAAATATAGAGCTAATAAAGTGTTTTCACTTATCATGTTTATTCGATTAAACGCCGCCGGCGTTTATTAAAATTTTCGTGATTCAAGTGCGATGTTTATTCGAGGGCGGCGTTTATTTAAAATTCAATTTACTTTTTGCAAACAATAGTATGGTAACTGACCATTTTAATTGTAAAAAGCAAAAACACATTCTAGTGCTTGTCCTCAATTTCACAATTTGCGTGTTAATACTACTGCAATACTTAATGTGAAATAAAGTGAACATAGTTCACCCAATTTCAATGTTTCTGTCCTCTTCATGATCCGAATCCAAAAGATATAATGACGGATGTGCTCTCTCAAAATCAGAACCGGTACATTCAAAGGGATTTGTGCCTTGCTTACTCAGAACTTGCAACTGCGATAGAAGCAATAATCGTGCACTGCCACAAGGCTGTCGTTCCTTGGGGCAGCGAATCATGTCGTCCACGGGAAGGTTCAACATGCAGCTCGAGAGAGTTTTTTTTATTACCTCTGTGGGTAGCTCTGCTCAAGAATCAAGAATTCACTCCAAAACGGTACTTTTCGGGGATAATTTCAAATTTTAGCAGCTGTTTCTTCGTGAATTCCCATGGTACCCAGCCAATCATTCCTTTTAAGGGCAAGTGGCCATGAACGGCTTGTTCCAAGAAACGTCCGGTGCCTGGATATACTTGGTGGACCCTTCTGGCACTATTACTTGATCGATTTTTTTTTCCGACTGCAATACGTAAGCAATACTATCTTCAGTTTTGCAGTCGAAGAAGTTCCAGGCTAATAGTAATCAACCAGCAACCTGTATTTCATTGCCCTAGGGCCTGTTTACCTGGATGTGGGGGACCCCAGGTAGGTGAGTAGACCCTCCTAACCGTGGGCTAAAAATAGCCAGCGTTTACATACAATCTTACAACCCCGGGATGCCAGGATGAAGTTTCTCGAGGTTGTTATCACACTTGCAATGAAGGAGTTTAAGATGTGTCTAGGACGTGTCGTAAAAACGTTGCAGAAGAAACGTAATTAATTTTCCTCTAAGATTTTGGCGAATAGTTCGATGCGTTAACCGTTTCTGACAGTACAACGTCTTCACTTTGGCATAACATGTGAATGTAGTGCTGAGTTTAAAGTAAAAACGTGACTAAATCGCTGTCGAGGTTTCATTGCTAAGTAGATGTAAAAATTGATGTTTTAACGTTCTAGCTCTGCATGGGAAGACCAAGAAATGTACAAAGTCTTAACACACTCGTGTTTCCGCTATTTTTTCCTTATTTGATCTATTTGTAACCCGCGTGGGCGGGTTAACCGACCTTGAGACGTTTACATGGCAATGTTGCCCCCTTGCTGACGGGGTTACCCTACCCAGTAGACTGGGCAACCCGCCTTGACGGGTCCCCCCACCTATCATGTAAACGTGATCAAGATGAAATAATAGATTATATGGACAGGCGGGTTACCCAGCTAGGCGGGTTACTTCACCTATCTGGGGCTCCCCATCTCCTTGAAAACAGGCCCTCAGTAGTCATCGGTCTGCTTTTTTGAGTCTATTATTCGAATAAGAGTCGCGTAATGATTTGGCATTTATTCGGGGGCGGCGTTTATTAATATTTTTGCTTTAAAATACGGCAGTTACTCGAGGGTGTTTCATCGACTATAACGTAAACCGACATCTCTGAACTCATATAATGCTCATAAAAAATTGACCGATTCTAAAATAGAACAGGACAGTTGTAAATGCATTTTGACCCTCTCGATGAGCAGTTTGGTGTACAGTTAAACATGATTTATTTCTGTGTGATTTGTTGAGGACCGACATCTTTCAGTGTACCAATCTCAATCAGCGAAATAGACCAGTTTGTGCGCACGTATACACTATAGTACATGAAGAAGCCTAGAACTTAAGAGAAGTCAGTAATTTTCATGAATCCGGCGACACAAGCAAAAATTCAACTTTTTTTTATTTGCTCCAAAAGACCCTTTTGGTGAATTGTTTTCAAAAATCACGTTTACAAGATAGGTGGGGTGACCCGCTTAGGTATGAGGTTCTTTTACGGACAAAATATCGAACATGGATACATTAATGTAAAATTGAATAAATGAATTTCATCCGGAATACATCGATTTTGGATGTCATACATCGATGTTGTGCAGCATACATCGCTTTCCTGACTCATTCATGCGTGATCTTATATAACTAAAAGATGTTCAATAAAAATAAAAGATGAGGAAGCGGAAATAGAAATGACCGGAAGTCAGATTAAACAAGAAGCCCCGGAAACTAACACTTTCAGAATGGCTGAAATAGAGGCAGATGATCAGTGAAGTTTGAGAAGCACTATGCAAGGTGCACGGATTTGGCTGCCCAACATGGTTGATTTCTACTTCGAGAGACTTACTTTACGTTGTTAAGCAGACGATTCTCGCCAAGGTAGAGTCATTGATTTACCATATACTTTTCACCTCGATTCCTGAAACTACTAGCGAGGAAATAGTGTCTTTAGTGCCAAATTGTTAAACTACGTAGCTTAGTGCTTCGGTCAGCACTTCCCGTTTGTTGGAAAACAGGTTCATATTTTCGAATCCATTGGGAATTGTAATAGTTGATATGTCTACATTCACCAGTTTTTGAGGTTGAATCCGTTATTTGTTTCCATATTGCTTAATTTGGTTGGATTCGCTAGGCTGGATTTAAACATGTTAGAGTTGGTCTCTTGAAACTAAAGACGCGTACGAAAAACATGCTTATCATCGGACAAATTTTCGGAAAATTTTCAGGTTTTGACGGGCAACGAACAACTGACTTTGGATGCCAGCATCGATAGAAAATTTATATAACTCAGAACGTAGTTTGGATTCGATCCACAAATAATGCAGTTACAGTTTTACAGTTCCTGCGAGGTTAAACTGAATATGCATCATGTGAAAGAAATGTTATTGATCTTCCCTTGCGCGTAAGTTTAATGTGGATTCTCTCTATATACGAAAGCTAATCAAGCTGCCTCACAACAGATGATGTTTGTTACTGCTAACTTCAACTTGAAAACTTTGAACATTGAGCATTGTTTCACGATACGCGAACTTCCGGTGTTCGCCATAGTTTCCGGTTTGTATAAACTGTCAATCAAATAAACGTGGTTTAGCTTTTCTCAAAATGGCGTGTTCACTAAGAAACACAAACAAGCATTTCAGCATGAAAGTTGTGTAGTCACAAACAATATTTATCAAGGAGATAACTTTCATGGAACCAGAAACAAAACATTGATGTTTCTTTATTTACACTATGAAAACGGCAAGTGATTGAATCTTTGCTGTCAGTGAATATACCTACAGTCTTTGAAATGGAGTACATGCAGACCAACAGAGAAACCTTTGTAACACTTTTCTTCTTATTGCGCCATATGCTACATTGCTTGCCCAAAAAAGTAATTGTTTTGAGTTTATTTTCAAAGGGGATATACCATCAAATTAGTAATTGTATTAAGAGCATGTGAATGTGGCTTGTGAAAAATTTGCAAAATTTTTGCAATTTCCAATTTTTGGCAGCAGTCGCATCTAACTGGTATCCTGTGACCAAAACTTCATTGACTGGCACATACATCAATCACAAACCCATCTCCTTCTATTAAAAGATAAAGAAAAATTCTTGCACAAATTACTGGGCAAAAATGGATCATTTTCAAATGATTATCTTCACAGCTTTCAGGTTTTAATGGAATCTTGCATTTCTTTCAGAGCAAAACAACGAGGCAATTTTTTTCACATTGTTGGTAGTCACTATCAGCAGGCTTCTATGCAGCTACTTTCAGCTTTTAGACATAGAAGGCAAAGACTGCTCAAATAGAGCTTGCTTTTGAAACTGTCGTTGGTTGAGGTCTCTGCGTCTGGCAGAGTGGTGGTTTTGAGATTGGGACCATGTATTGTGTCTTGCCATTTCATGCCCCAAATTACACTAGCAGACCACAGTGTATTTTCCAGCTTAAATTTTATCTAGACATGTCTTACGTACAATGACAGCTAAATGGTTAAAAAAAAAAAGTGAGATACTTTGGTATGCCAAAATTTGGAAGCCTCCAATGCAGGACATGGCTCTTTTGAAGATTAGCAGAATTTTGGTGATCCGCAAAAATTTGGCAAGTTTTTAAAATTGAGGGTTGTACTTATTTTATGTAACTTGTTGACAGATTTTTTACTTAAACAAACAAAAAAAAGCTCTAGTGTGACCTAGGCCTATATATAATAAGAAAGGAGTGTGATCTTAGGAGAGCACCATACTGTTTTTTGTCAGTGATGAACATTGCCATTTACTAACAACAGTGGAAGACATATTGTGACCTTATGGTCATCGTACTGGACTTTGGTACCAAAGGTCTGGGTTCAAAACCTGGCTGAGTCAATGTGTTTGGGCAGGACACTTTACTCTCCCCATGCCTCTCTCCACCTAGGAGTATAAATGGGTACTGGTGAATTGTTAGGGAAGCCTGATGAAAAGCTGGTAGGGGGGAACCTTGTGATGGACTGGCATCCCATCCAGGGGGGAGTTGTTATTATTGTAGTAGCTTTATGCTAAGGAAACCAAGACAAGCTCCTTCTACAGGGGGCCAATAGGCTTGAGTGCAGACTCTTTTTTGCTACCAAGAACAGTAACTGATCTCACAGGGTGCTTCAAAACTTTTCTGAAATTTTGAGGGATGTAAGAGGTAAAACTTGTGGGGAAAAACTGGAAAGTTTTCATCATGGCCATGGTAATTTATTTCTCTTCACAGAACAGTAAATACAAAACCAAAATTGCTTGGAATTAAGTATTGCAAATTGCATGGTTAATATGTGGTTGACATGTATAAATGGCTGAGAGCCAGAGAGAATCCCTTTTTGTTGTTTTGACAAATGAAAGCTGTTTTATAAGTTTGATCACTCAAGAGACTTTTTTGGATTAGAAATAATCTTAAATGGATAAAAAGATTCTAATTGAAATGAACGTATCATGTTTTTTGTGTGGAAAATCTAAACAGATGTAATAAGTCTTTATAAGAACAGTGTATTTTCTTGAGATTTGTACATTACTGTGAGGGTTTTATGCACAGAATTGTGTGTGTTCCCCCTGCCCCATCTGCCTTTTTAACCCTTAACACCCTAAGGCATTGGTTTTCATATTCTCCACACTGTTTTCTTTACATTCCCTATGATACTGACAAGGAGAATTTGTTTGACAATCAGAAACTTCTTAAATTGGTGATCATTTCCTTTATTCTTGTGACCTCTACATTTGATTCATGACTGATACTGTGAGGAGAAATTAGAAGCCAATCACTCTTAGAGGTTGAAGGGTTAAAAAGGAAGACACATTACACTTGTTGTATAAATTTGTCAGGTGACAATAAATTCAATGTTAAGTATGTGGAATGACATTTTGGCTCTGGGAAGTTCAAATGATGATTTATGTGTATATTTCTTTTCAGAAGACATGTCCTCATGGCCTTTGCCACTCCATCGAATCCTTCTACCAAAGCAACCTCCAACTATGCACAGCTGTGTCGCCTTCTTGTTGAAGTTGGATCACATGTGTTAAAGGAGATCTTTGACAGGGTATGTCCACCAGAAAAACTTCACACAGTTCTGACAAATCCCACAAACTGTGCCAAATTACAAACACTTCGAAAGAAGAGAGTCCTGTGTACTTCCCAGTGGCGCAAATTGTATCCTGCTGTCAAATGGTCAATTTCCTCAGAGAACTTTGACAGCTCCCTGCTGCTATTACTTCTGAGGAATATCTTTGGTCTAACTCTCCCTGCCTCTGGCCAAGATGACCTTCCTTTGGTAACAGACACCACTCCAGCAGCTGACATCTCTCGCATCAAGATCCTCAGAGACAGAGTTTACAGTCATGTTACCAGTGGTTCAGTTGATGATCCAACTTTCAGTTCCTACTGGAATGACATCAAAGACACCTTTCAGCGTATTGGAGGGGCCCGCTATCAGGATGTTATCAATGATCTTAAAACTGATCGCATGGATGCTGATATTGAGAAAGACTACCAGGAGCTTTTTAGAGAGTGGCTGAAGGATGAAGACTGTGTCACAGATAAATCACATGAAGATGAAATGGTAAAAAAAGCCAGGAAGGAAGATGACCTAGAGGGTTCCATTGAGATATATGAACAAAATTTAGGAAAGGAAGGTTTGTGTGATTTACTTTTGTTAATTTTAAGTTTTAACTTAATATTTGTCTCTTTTGTGTGATTAATGTTAGATATATAGTGGGTCATGAAATAAAAGAAATTACCTCCAAAATTTCTGTGTGGAAATTGGTATACTGTATATGTAAGTAAAGTTTTGTGTTATTTTTCTTGATGTTATGAACAAAGTTTACAAAAAAATTCATACATGTCATCAAAATATAATTCTGTGCCGAAGGTGATAGATTTAAAGCCTGATTATTTGAGTGAAAGATGTAACCCAGTGAATGACACAACCATGCAAACTCAGAGAAAAAATGGTAGCACTCAGAGGTGTTTTTTTTCTTCAAGTATGTCTGACAGTGTATAATTTTGTATTGTTTAATCAGTTAGTGAGGACTTGAAATGTTTTATGCATGGTCAAGGATGCTTTGACCTAATTGTTATTCATAACTGGTTTTCTTTTCTTTTTCTTCATTATATCTTTTGATTTTTGTTTCGGATCTGCTAATAACTTCTAATAAATGAATGGAAACAAAGAAAAAGAAATACTACATTCTTCTTTTTTAGAGACAGCAATGATGCCAAGGGAAACTACATCAGCACAGAATGCAAGCCCACCAGAGCTCAATGTTACACTTCCATTGATAAGTGATCTTCCTGAAACCTCTTTTACTTGGAACAATGTTGAACTTCCTGTTGATATTCTTTTATTAACAGTGGAGGACTGTGAGTTCTTAAGCTGCTTTGCCTACCTGAAGGAACCCATTAAGAGTTACCACATCAGTACTGGCTATGTGTACTTTGGGTGCATGGGTGATGATCAAGGAAAGAAAATGAAAATTGCATTGATGAGGTGTTCCAAGGGTCCTGATGTTCCTGGGGGTTCTTTATCTGCTTCAAAAGATGCCATTTTGCTACTGAGACCGAAGGCTATTTTTTCTGTTGGTGCCTGCAGTGGTTTGAACAGCAAAAAGGTCAAGTTAGGAGATGTGGTTGTTTCAGCAAAGCTGATAACAGCTGCGCACAAAACTCCCCCTAGTAGAGATATTGGTAAGCTGATCAAACATGTGGCTGATGGGTGGAAGGCACCTTTACAAAATGCTGATGAATATAATGCCAAAGTGCACTGTGATGGAGTGGTTCTGAGTATCTTGGAGGCAAACAGAGATATGATTAGGAAACACCCTGAGGCAATTGCAGTTGAAATGGAAGGTGGAGGTGAGAATCATAATAATTCAAATAATTGATGAGCCAAGGACTTTAGAATTTGAAGCGAGAGTTTTGAAAAAGACTGCCCTGGTATTGTCTCTGCTGGTCCAAGAAATAGCATATACCATAATTATAGCATGCAAAATTTGTGGAAATTATATCTGGCATAATAATAGTAATTTTGTGTTTGACTGGGGTTGAATATTGTTTAGCAGGTGGAGGTGACTGAGACTTCTTCTGTCTTCTAAATTGAATGTGCTCCATCAGGATGTCATGAATTGTCTTAAATTTGTCATCTGAAAAATGTAGAAAGTATTTTGTTGAATAGTTTGAGAGTTGAGGAATAACTATCAGTCCCTGTTAATCCTGAAACTCCCATGAGTGACCAAGACAGAATTTCTCCTTACAGTATCAATATGATATCAAGTGGATACAACAACATTACTGTAAGTAATGGGAAAAGAAAAAGAAAATGTCAATTAGGAAATTATTGGATGATCCAAAACCAAATTCTCCCAACTACGCCACCTGTAACATCATAGGAATTGTACGACAGACACTAAAGAGAATTACCAAAGAGATCTTAGGAGTGAAAGGGTTGACTCTCGCTGACAAAAGTTTTTCTTTTGAGAAATGTTGAAAGTTACTTATGAAACAAGGTGTACAATTTTTTTTAAAGTACTGGTTGAAAAAAATTAGATTTTGTTACTAACTAATGTCTTTCTGGGATGTGCATTTTTACAAACAGCTAGAGTGTGAATCTTTTAAAGCTTTCATCGCACAATTATTTTAAGGATTCTACCAAAATTAGCAATATGGTTAACAGACATGAGTGTTTTTTTTTTGTTTAAGGAGTGTATGCTGCAGCCCATGATTTTAAGACAGAATGGGTGGTAGTCAAGGGCATTAAAGACTTTGTAGATGAAATGCAGTCTTCAAGTAAAAAATGGAAACAAATTGCCTGTGTGATGGCAGTATCTGTTTTGGCCAACATTTTGAATGATCCAGTCATATTCCAAGATTGGCCTTACTTTAATGCAGGTATTGCTTCCTGTCTCAATCTTGTCTTTTTACAAGGATAGGTCTGACTTAGATCTAAGTTCCCATAGCATATTCTTGTATGGATTACAAATCAAGATCATTTATTCAGTAACAGTTCACAAATAGAAAATTAAGTTACCCTTATTTTAAGTTTATGTATTAGTAAGTTAAACAAGGCCTCTTAAGGTGGTGGCAGAAAAAACTTGTAGTTAAATCAAGTGATGCTGATGAATGACAATTCACTTCATGAGCCAGGTGAATATGCCTGTTTTCTATAGTTAGCTTGGTTTATGTAACACAACCAGAAAATGGAAAATTTGGAGGCCAATGACATCTGCCATTTAGTGATTTGAAGTGATTTGATATATGTTCCTGGGCAAATTAAGCAACACATCAAATTGTTTTAAACCAAGAACAGAGAATTATCCAGTACTGCATGTGCGACTGTATTTTGATGTTGATACTTAATTGAATGCACAGGGAAGGGATAACTGCCAGCACATATACATGTATTTACAGTTTTTTTTTTCTGTTGTTGTTGTTGTTTTTTACCCCTTTTTGGAACCTGACATAATATTAGTTGAGACTAATGAATCAGATTGTAAGTAAATTTCTTAAGTAAATTGGTTTAAAGAGACAACACTTCTTTTTGTTTATTATTTAATTTAGGTGCCAATGAATTGCCTTCTCAAGGTGAGTCCTACATGTTTTGATGAGTGTAATACTTAATACTGAAATAATAAATGTAATAATAGTGACCATGTGAATGGTAACGTCATAAACAGTGAACTTATTTACGACTATTTGAACTACTGTTATTAAATGTTGATAAGTAAAGACGATTTTGAAGGGTGGATCCAGGATTTTTATATAGAAGGGGGTCACAATTTTTGTTCAGAAAACACAGAAATTTTGTGTTTTTTCTGAAACCACAGTAGGCCAAGACCTATATCTGGAACGGTAATTGTTAGTTGCTCCATATTGGATGGTGATATGTGATCCTGTTGTTTCAAGAATTTGGGTGTCAGACAAGTGGATCTGACGCCACCACCGATTTTTAACCATTATAGGGTCCGTGAGTTGGGGCTCTGATATCCAATGCTGGAATTGTTTCTCTGTCAGACACTAGACTTTGAAATTTACATTCAAGACTAATCCTATAAGGGTTAGAACTATGTGTGGTATTAATGTGCCTTTAGTTTGTTATACTTTTTTCATCAATAAGAGTAATACCAATATAGCCTAAAATCTTTGTCTTAAGCGCTTGTGTGTTGATTGACCTGCCCTCAAAACAGTTAAACCCCGTGGAACAAGAGTGATAGTACTTAAACTGCTATCCTCGTGTTCATATTATTTATTAAGTATGTTCCTTTTTTATATTTCAGCCGTAAGTACCTACACTTCAGCTTTAAAGACTTCAATTATGTACCATACGGAGTTCCAACCCAAACTGCTTGCCTCTCGCACGATTTCCAACGCGAAAACGGACGAAATATTCACTAATCTTCTCATACAACATGGAAGAAAAGCCCTGATTAGGAATGACGAGACATATTATTCAAGGAGTAAAGAGCTTGAGTACTACGGGAAAATTAGTGGTACTCCAGTCAAGCACTGCAGTGAAATACTTCTTGGCATGATTGATGATCAGGAAAGTGCTAATTCTATTCTTGTCGTTGGAAAAGCAGGGATTGGGAAATCCCTGTTTTGCCAGAAGGTGATTCGCGATTGGGCTAACAACGAATTACTTCGAGCACTAGAAAGCACTGAAATGCCCAATTTAAAATTTGTGTATTTGCTTACTTTCCGTCAGTTGAATTTGCTCAAGAATAAGCATTTGACTTTAAGAGAAATCTTAAATTTTTCCTCGGTACTGAATGACAAATGTGACATTAACGAATCAACATTTGAGTACATTGTAAAGCATTCCAAGGAAGTAATGATAATTCTCGACGGCTATGATGAGTATTCTCAGAAAACCAGTATCGATGGAAACTCAGAAGGACGGCATCCCAATGACGTTAGACGTAAAATGCCGGTGGCCGCACTGTGTTCTAAACTCATCAATGGAAAAATCCTGCAAGGGGCTATCGTCATGATTACCTCGCGACCTGATGAATCGGACAAGATGGGAGGAATCTGTTATAAACGGTATGTGGAAATTGCTGGTTTTTCGGCAGAACAAGTCAAAGAGTACATAAAGAAATACTTCAAGAAAAACGAAAATATGAAGAACGCTGTACTTAAACATGTCATGAACAATGAGAATCTTGTCAGTTTTGCTCATATTCCTATGCTCTGTTATCTGTTGTGCTTCGAGATGGAGTATACCCTAGCCGAATCAGAAAATTCTGATGACCTTCCTGTCTCAATAACCGACATTTATACCAAACTTGTTGATATTTTTGAACTCAAGCACTGCGCCGAGTCAGAATACAGACAAAAAGAAATTCCTGAGAAGTTCAAGCCCCCTCCTGTCATCAAGAACACTTTGGAGAAATTATCAAAATTAGCGGCTAAACTGCTGGTTGAAAGAAAGCCAACTTTTGATGAAAGAGAAAAAGGAGCGCGATTTTGAACTGGAAGAAGTCAACAAACTGAAAGGTAGCGGTCTTCTTTACTGTGGTCAGCCTTTCAGAACCGAATTGATTACAACCACGAAGCACTTTAGCTTCACACATCTGACCGTCCAAGAATTCTTGGCCGCTCGTTGGTTTGTAAGGGAAAATCGTGTTCCCGATGCGAAATGCTCTGATATGGTTTACCAATTCATGGCTGGCCTTTTCTCACGTGACGCAAACGAGGAAATGATGGAAAAATTGATAGATTCACCCTTTATGCCTCCTTATCTTAGAATGAGGTGTCTTAATGAGTATCGAAACAAAGAATTCGCTAAACAGTTCTTGAGGGAGAATCCCCAAGCGTTTTGTAATTCACACGGTGTCATGGATTTAGGTTGTTACTCAAATGTAGACTGCATTACGGTATCATTTGTATTGGACATTATCAGTGAACTAAACGAAGAGGAAGCTGGAGAGGCACAACACAAGTATACCGATAAGTTTGTCACAGTTGAGAGGTTAGGACTTTCCGGACCACATCTAATACTGTCTGGAATACAACGAGTCTTTAATTCACTGATAAATGAACACTGTCTTGTGTCTGAACTTATATTATCTTACATTAACTGGAGTGTTGAACATGTTGATTTTATTAATCGATTATAGGTAAGGAAGTTAACTGAATTATATTAAGATCACCGATACCGGTGTTGCCAGGCTATGTGAAGCTTTACAGCATCCAAGCTGTGAGCTAACCACACTAAATCTGAATTCTAGTGGGATCAATGATACCGGTGTTGCCAGTATAGGTGAAGCTTTACAGCATCCAAGCTGTAAGCTAACCACACTATACCTGGGGTTTAGTGAGATCACTGACACCGGTGTTGTCAGTCTATGTGGAACTTTACAGCATCCAAGCTGTAAGCTAACCACACTATATCTTGAGGGTAATAACATCACTGATACCGGTATTGCCAGTCTCTCTGAAGCTTTACAGCATCCAAACTGTAAGCTAACCACTCTATGTATTTCGTTTAGAGGGATCAGTGATACCTGTGTTCCCAGTTTATGTGAAGCTTTACAGCATTCAAGCTGCAAGCTAACCGCATTAAGTTTGCTCTGTAATTTGATCACTGATACCAGTGTTGCCTGTCTATGTAAAGCTTTACAGCATCTAAACTGTACGCTAACCACTCTACGTATGCAACATTGTGAGATCACTAATATCGGTGTTGCCAGTCTATGTGAAGCTTTGCAGCATCCGAGCTGTAAGCTAACCACACTAGATCTGGAGGATACTGACATCACTGATATCGGTGTTGCCAGTCTATGTGAAGCTTTACAGCATCCGAGCTGTAAGCTAACCACACTAGAACTTCCTCTGTCAGTTTATCAGGATGAGATGGCAGCTAGTCTTGAAGCTATAATTCGGAGACACCGACCAGCTTTAAAGCTGTCTTTTCATTAGTTTCATTAACTTTAATAGTTTCATTAATTTTTGGTAGATTTTTATATTTAAACGAAATCAGTAGTTCCAAGTGAAATCTTAATTTGGGTCAAAGATACCAGTTAGGCAAAGTACTTTTAATCATTGGAGTGACATGCTATGCTCAATGTAAATAAAACCGCAAAGATTTTGTAATAAAGGTTTTTTTTTACTGGCGACATTGTTTACTGTACTTGGTTTGTGGGTTTAGACTACTCAAGAGTTGTAACAAGTAAGACTTGGGGTCGGGAAAGGGTTGGGAGGGTAATCTTCTGTGAGGTTACCATGCGTCAAAGGAATCTATCTTTTAGGAACGTTTAGTTGAAGCTTCTCGAGGTAAGGACAAAGAAGAAAATATCTTCCCGTTGACCTGATTATGATTTCATTTTGATGAAATTACGCCCCCCTGAGTACTGCAAAGAAAAGACAGTTTTCTTTTCTTATTTTCAGTAAGTAACAAATTATCGTTTTAACTGTCCGCCATTACACTGTATCAGTCATTATAAAAATGAGTCATCCTCGTTTAAGTTGTCCAGCTTTGTTAGGTTAAGTTCCAGACGAATTACTTGTAGAGACCTCAATTGGGGTTACCGTTTAACACAGGTTGAGCAAGAAACTCACAATTTATCGGAAGACGTGACTTAAATTATCACTCATTTTTGTCTACTGTTGCCACTCATTTTTTCGCAACAACAGCGAACAATGTTTCGTTCCCTTTTTGCAATCAAGTCGTACAAGTACACAAGGGCCGGACCGCTTTTTCACGTCGTCTTTCTCCATGGTTTTTCGGCCTTACGATTACGCACGCAGGGCCGAACGGGTCATACAATAAATTTTACCGCAACTTGCAGGAATGCCGTTGTCGATAAGAGCACAGTCACGAACTCTAGTCACGCACTGGAAGAATCGTTTTATTCAACGTCAATATTGTGGTAACAAATATGTCGAAAGTGGTTTGGCGTGGTCAGTCCTCTAATCGACAACGATATTTGTTAGATCTTGTTATCACTTTGCTCAAACTTTGTTGCGAACTCACGAGGCGCAGCCAAGTAAGTCCACAAGATTTTGACCTCTGTGGTGATGAATATCGTTGTAGATAAGAGTACAGACCAAGAGTGTCGATTTATTAAATTGAATATGGCTGATGAATTCATTGCGACTCTTGTGGGAATAACTGTTCAATTATATTTCTTGAAATTTCAGGGTCATTGGCTTGTAGTTAAATCCGGTACCATATATTATCATATTCTGTACGGTTTATCCACGAGTTCATCACAGTGTCACTTTGATCGATCTTTTGGTGATCTGTATTTACACGTAGGAGACGGAGTCACAAGTAAAACTATTCTTGATTCAAATTATGGTTTTCTGTTTTTTACAATAACCAAATTGAACCGCGCACTCTGCGGGTATTGGGCCTGGTTACTCAGCTGTTTTTAAAAATGGCGGCGCGTAAAGTCGTATCTTAAAAGTCGTATCTTAAAAGTCGTATCTTAAAAGTCGTATCTTAAAAGTCGTATCTTAAAAGTCGTGTCATAGAAGTCGTATCATAAAGCCAATGAACGGAGGGTTACTCTTGGGAACGCTAATAAATATAAATTGAAGTTTCTAGTAAAAATTTTAAAATGTACATTTTGATATGGCACGTGGTATGTGTTTGGAGCCGGCTTCCTTTTTTTTCCACAAAACTGGTCAACAGCAGTAGTCATTATCTGGTCATGCGCAAACTCCTTTCACGTGCGCCTGGTAGAAATTACTTTGAAAGATTTCCTGAGATATACGGACTATGATGTTTTAGCTCGAAAAATGGGTTTAGCGACACTGTTGATCCAGCGATCTGGACTTCGTCTTCTTTCTCGTAATGTAAGATTTGCAACCTTGGTGTTTAGACCATAATTTAAGTTTTTGTTAATTTTTACTAAACGAGAATCCTCAGCCACGAAGAAGTGAAAAGCTTACATAATCGTACATCTTTCTCAAACAGTTAGGACTATCGTATCGGTTGTGATTTGTTAAAATCAGAAAGTTATAGAAGTTATAGAACGAGAGAATCAAAAATCAAAACAGTAATATGATTTTAAACTGATTATTTTCGTATTTTGATTAATATGGGAAATAATGAATCCAGATTGAGTTCAATATGATATTAGGGAGTACAAGTTGCTCGTATTTGTATCCTTTGGTTAGTAATTAATCCTGAATCTTACGAACGAATGCTTTTTTTTCGTAGGTGAAGGCTCGGTTTTTTGCCTCTGAAGCAACGGTGAGTGCTCAAGTTTCTCAAGGAGATCGACAGTTTTTGACTACATTTTCACCGGGGTTAAAAATGTATATATTTTATTTATTTTATTACAAGCAACAGTCTTTCAAAACTGTCGGTGAAAACGTTCCTTTGAGTTCAACAGTCAGTGATAACTTCACAGGCTGTTCATTAACCTCTGACTACCAGAAGTGATTAACATGTCACTTCTCCCTATAATATCCATCCACTCTCTAGCAAACAGTTAATGAGAATACTCAAACTTATCTGGTATCTTGATCAAACATCAAGTTCTTATTACTATAGTAAAGTAATTTTGATTTCTCCAAAATTTCTCTTGCAAACCTACTGATTGTTTAGGAATGCCAAGCTACTCCAAAAATTATTGTGGTGTTTTAGAGGACAAATTTTCTAAGCATTTACTTAGATCCTATGAAATCGCTAGGTGAGAAATGTTTCAGAGTTGTTGAAAACCTTGCAATTTGTGCTCTGTAGTAAAAAGCCGAAATAATTTTTGGAATTACTTAATTAATATTTCTAAACTAATATTTGATACTCTAAAGAGTAATCTTTCAGTAGAAATTCTGTGAAAATATTCAATTACCTAGCATTTAAACACAGCCTTATCTTTTATTCTTAATGAATGATATTCTCCTGTTACTTTAATTTATTTCCAGCTACTACTGACATTAATTAGTGAAAACTTAGATTTTTTCCTCAGTTTTCATTGATAAATACAGGCCCTTGAAATTAGGGAATTTTTAATTACTGGATGCCACGAGTATTTTCCAAACATTTTTTCCATGATCAGCAGTAATGTTGCAATCTGATTGGCCAATTTGCCAATGCTGCTTGCATCAACTTGTCATGCAGTGCCTTTATCACTGAAAGAATCATCTTGTTTGACGTCATTATTGTGGTAAAAAGGAATTGACAGTGGTTTAGCATGGTCTCTAGACAATGATGTTTGTCATCACAGTGCTCAAAAGTTTCTGCTGATTCACCTGGCTGGGCCGCGTGAGTCTGCAGCAAATTTTGACCTCTGTGATAATGAATATCATTGTCAATAAGAGTACAGACCATGCTAAACCACTGTCAATTTGTTAATTGGGCATGGCTGTGTACATTGGGCATACACATAACAGTGTCTCCTTTTTTGACAGAAGGATGTGTCAAAAATCAGAAATATTGGCATCTCTGCCCATATTGATTCTGGAAAAACCACACTCACAGAGAGACTTTTGTTTTATACTGGAAGGATCAGTCAGATGCATGAGGTGGGAATAATGCACTTTGATTTGCCTTTAGAACTGCTTTCAACATTACCAATCCTACTTTGCAGGATGCATCTCACATGTGGACCTCATAATAATCTAGCTCACAGCAGAGTCTCTGTGACTCAGAAGTAGAGCATCAAAGTGGTGAATCTGAAGGTCTGAGGTTCTATTCCTCATGAGGACTCTAAATTGTTTTTAGTCCCACGCTCATGACAAGACAGAAAAAAAAAATCTTTGCTGATGGACTTTGATGTATGTTGTAACAGTTCAAAGCCAATTTCCCATGGGTTTTGAGTGATTATACTAATAGTGAGTTTTGCTCTGTGGTATCCTGTTGAAATTTTTATTGTAGTTCTTTTTCTCAATGTGTGTTATGGATCAAAATTTGCTTGAAGTTTAAGTGATATCAAACTTCTGTAGGTTGATAGGAGTTCTGACAAGACCAAAAAAAAAATTTTTGCTAATGGATTTTGATACACATTGTAACAGTTCAAAGTCAATTTCCCATGGGTTGTGTGTGATTATACAAATAGTGATTTTTGTCCTTTGGTTTCCAGTTAAGATTTTTGAAATTGAAATTGAAATTTACTGAAATTTTAAGCAGTATCAAACTTCCGTAGGTTGATTAGAGTTCTGATAATATCTCTGAAACAAAGACTTTGTTAAAATCAGGTTGATGTAGATTCAGTTTAAACCACAACTTCTACAATCAGGTATTTCTAAGTAGCAAAGGTTTGACAACTTGCAATAATAATAATATTATTTGATCACATGGTCTGATTGTCTGGGTTAGAGTAGGCCTGGAAAGGACTGTTGTGGGCAGTAGTGACTGATGATTTGACAACCTTGATGGAAGTCATCTCTTTCGTTAAATGATTATGACTTCCTCTTGTTATGGATAGTGACTGTAGAAATAAGTATCAAGACATTTTCTGGTAAGAATGTTTTGTCATGCTGAGAAGAATGTCATGGAACATAATAGAACATTTTATTAGGTCATGTAGTCATGATGTAATACCAGTCCACTGAAATACCGTTAGTCATGTTGTAAGTTTCTGGAATGTTCTAGAATACTTTGTAAATGTCTATAAGGATGCAGTTGTGTAGTAGTAGTTGTTGTTGTCAGAAGTGAATAACTGCTTGGACAGCTATACAGAGAGAGAGAGGGCTACTGTGAAGATTGTTTAGTTCAAGGAACTTTGGAGAAAATTGTGAGTTTGTGTCAGTGGTGAGGCAAGACACAGATTGTTGTGGGCTTAAGTAAGTTTATTGAGGATAATTACTGTATTTCCTGTAGGATTTTCTCCGCATTAAAAATATTAAAAGTTGTTTAACAATGGGTTAATAAAGTAGTGAGGTCTATTGTAACACACTGGTATTGTTAAAACTTGAGTCACTTTTACCAACAACAGTCCTTCAGGGAACCACTCTCACCAGTATGATCAGACTTCTTATGACAAACAAATGTGAAGATACAAGATACATAATCTCACTGTAGCTCAGAAGCATTAATACAGCATATCTCAGGTTTTTTTTATACCTTATTGACGAGAAACAAATTCTTTGCTTAAGAAAGATGCATCAATATATCCATGAATTAGATTTGATTGTTTGGTATTCATCCTTATTTTCTAACCAGGTGCGAGGTAAGGACAATGTAGGAGCCACTATGGATTCCATGGATCTGGAACGACAGCGAGGAATAACCATACAGGTTGGTATTAAGTAACAGTACTATGATTTATTTAATTAACTACAGTTCAAGTGCATGACATTCATATAATCACAGTCATTTATTGATCACTAAATGGATTTATTACAAACCAACAAAATGACCAACTCCCAGTTGGCTTGTTATAGCCTTGTAGCTCAGTTGATAGAGCATTGCACTGGTATCCCAGAGGTCATGGGTTAAAATGTATATGCCTGAATTTTTTACAGGTGTTGTTTTCACTGCTGCTTTATCATTGGGAATTCAAATATATGATTTTCATACACATGTAACCACAGTTGAATTTCAAATGTCAGGATCATACAGTTTGAAGATTGTATACATGGTTACCATAGCAACATTAGTACATCTTTTGTAGTATGTTCACAGGGCATTGTGAAGATGCTATGTCTTAGATACAGCAGAAATTCTGTTGTTTCAATATTGTCTGCATAATGAAATAATATTCTTTATATATTTCAAGAAGATACAACTGTAGATATGTATGTTGTGTTTTAGTCTGCAGCAACATATGTCAATTGGAAAGATACAAACGTTAACATTATTGATACACCAGGTGAGTCTATCAGCCATTAAATTTTTACATGTACACCCTAACATGGAGGTGGGAATTTTAATGAGTCCATCTTTAAAGGTTCAAATGCATGGGGGATTACCAGGAAGAGGAGGGGGGGGGGGTATTGAAGCTTGGACTTAAGTGATGCTTTAAAACCAAATTATGAGAGTGAGAGGGGTAAGTTTCTCATTGATTTTTCAAGTTTTTTTTAATTGTGGCACAATGACAATACTCCATTACCTTCCCTTACTATGTTAAAAAAAGGAAAGAAAAAATTTAATTCACAAGGAAATATAATGGGTACTAACAACAAAAAATAAGCAAGGAAATTAAAAATATATATGAATGGTGGGCAGCTCCAATCAAATCAAGCAGACCCCCTTGATTTTTCAAGTCGGATTAATGAATTTTTACAGCTTTAAATTTGCTGACAAATTTTCACAATCATCAGGACATGTGGATTTTACAGTAGAAGTGGAAAGAGCCCTGAGAGTTCTTGATGGTGCCATCCTGGTGTTATGTGCTGTTGGAGGGGTGCAGGTTAGTGTCGTAGTCTCCTGAGTTAAGAGTTTAAGGCTTCTTCCTGTCTGTCTCCAGGCTTCTTCTTGTCTGTCTTCAGGCTTCTCTATCGCCCACAGCTGTGATTGCTTCTTTCCAGGTTCTCAACCCCTACTACATATTAAGCTCTTGTGACTGTGCTTTTTCACATCTTGCATGGGTGTCCTAGCATTGCCCTCTGGTAATGCAAGTCTGTGCAATAGTGTTTTTGAGTGGTGGTCCATTCTCAGGATGTGACCCAGCTGAAAGTGAGAAAGCAGTAAATTTTGATAATCAGTAGCACAGAATATTGTAAGTTGTTGGTGAGAGATGTCTGTGAATAAGAATTGGCATTTGAATGAAAAAATGAACACAACAGAGAGTATGGCAACTTCAGTACAATGTTCTTCATTTTTAATGTAATTATGCTGTAATAGCTACTCGGAAGAATCTGAGAATTTAAGTAACATTCACTAGGTGCTACTACACTGTAAGCTAAAACTGTTACATGAAAGTGTCAGTCCTTGATTTTCAGGCAAGTGTTGGCATATTGCAGATCCTAGAGGCTACATGTACCATCCTTATAAAGCTAAAACATTTGGTTTATCAAGTAGCCATGATAAAAAAGATGGTAGATGCCGACAGAGACCAAAGAATTGGTCACTCTCATGTTGGAGAAGTCTGTCATTGAACACAATAACCATATATGATTGTTAAATTACTAATGGTTCTGTTTGTTTTCTTAAACAGAGCCAGACGTTGACAGTAAATCGTCAAATGAAGCGTTACAATGTACCCTGTATTGCCTTTATCAATAAACTTGACAGGTAACTTATTAAGGAACCTATTTTTTAATTGGAAATTTTGGTTTTCTGTAAATCTTTGAAGTAAAGCCTTCAGTAAGTGCCCTAGCTTATAAAAAAGAGTTCTTGAAGTTCCTATCTACAAAAATTAAAGGAAATGCCTTTCCCCACAAATTGAGTTTACCCACCATAAATAAGTAAAGTTAATTGTCGCTTTTCAAGTAAGGCTAAACAGTTTTGTAAATTTAACTTAGAACATCAAGCTGTTAGACTGTAAGTAAACAATGTTAGTATAGTATTTAGATTTTGAACGGAAAAAGTGCCTTTCCTTCATGCTTTTTTACAGATGAGTGATCAGGTTTTCTAAAATTGTTTAGTGTGCAATTTGTAGTTTTGAGCACTTATTTTCAATTTGAATCTGTGTTGGAAAAACAACTACAATCCAAGCACGGTCCAATTGTTAAAAATTGTTTTGGATCATAGATTATCAGTACTAAGTTATATTGTTAACACCTAAATTTCCTCCAAGAAAAGATCATATCTGGCCAATACATGTATTTGAAAAACAAGTGAAACCCTTGGGTTTTCCTTCTTTTGAAGAGGCACCTCCATCTTGTCCTAAATTTCAAATAAATGCACTGGGGCTGGGGATTGAATGGCTGCACTTTTGGTTCTTGAAGTCTTGCATTTGATCCACGTCTGGACCTTACTGTGAAGTGCAACATTGTCTGTAGGCAGCTGTAAACAATAAGAATCAAATTAGCTACCATATGCATCTGGGAGGTCACATGAAAGTCCTTTCAGGATTTTCCTTGGTAGAATACACTTCATACTTTGAATGATATGAAAGTCCAAAATTGATGTCTATTTTTCCTTCTTATTTTTCAGAATGGGAGCAAATCCAGCCAGAGTTTTGAGTCAAATTAGGTAAAAATGGTCACAGTGTTTGTTGTTTGATTTTTTTGTTGATTTACATTAAAGAGGAGCATGTGATAAGTATAGCATCTTGATTTTCAAAATATTGATAAGGCTCTTCTTTGTATTTACATAAAGATAACACATTTGGGTGGGAACAGTACATTACATTCATCACAAACTACATGTCTGGCCAAAACTTTTATCTTACTGAGATATTGCAATGTGTGTAGCCCCCCCCACCCCCCCCAAAAAAAAAAAAAAAAAAAAAAAAAAAAATTCTTGAGAGTGATTGAAATGATAAGGTGAATGGAATGAATGATGGAGGGGAAAGAATGTGGAACATTGTTTTTGTCATAAAAAAGTTAAAACCCTGTTGTAAAGAAGGAACAAGGTAAAATTTCTGTGAATACAAAAAATGAGAAACAGAACAATGTGTGTGCAAAAAATGACCTGAACAGTGTAGCATTAAACATTTCAACTGTGAGGCTACAATTTGAATTCCTATGACCATAGATTGGATTGACACTGAGATTTGCAAGAGGTGACAAGAACAATGGAAAAGATCATCCGCTACATTTGAGAAGATACTTGTTGCATTTTCATCTGTTTTTTTTTTAACTATATAATTTGTATGCTTATTTTGATTATTTCATTAGAACTTGAAAATGACCTTGGAATGTGGAAATAATGCTTGTTTTTATCACTGATTTTTACTACACGATCTATATCAAAGAAACTAATTAAAAAAACTGAAAAAAATTCTTTTCCCTAGAGCAAAGTTACAACACACTGCAGCCTTCACCCAGTTGCCAATTGGTTTGGAATCTGAGGTAAAAGGAGTCATCGACCTTGTGCGCTGGAAGGCTTATTACTTTGAGGGAAATCATGGGTAAGCTTATTCATAATGTCATGACTTTTATTTTATTTTTATTTAGCTGTTTAGCCAATCACATGGCTAGAAATTAAGTAACCCTGCTCCATTGATTATTAAGTCACCATAACTTTGAGCTAAAAAGTCTCCCAAAAAATTAAATTATGGTAATTGGCCCTGTCATTGTTATACAACTACTGCTGATTTAAATTATTACCGAACAGGTCTGAAGTGGTAGAAGGTGTGATCCCTGAAGACTTGGTCAATGAGTGTACAACAAGAAGACAGGAGCTGATAGGTACATGTACAATCTGAGTTTTTTTTTTTCCAAATGTTTTGTTTGAGTTATGATAATGGCCAATCAGAACAAAGGAAAATATCACAGGGAGCCAATGGGAACTCAAAGTGAAACAAAGTAAAATTAAGTATTGGAAAATGCCAGTCATCAAGTTCTGATTATTTTAAGTTTTTAATTTGATGGGATAAGAGCTTGAGAGAAAGGGGAAAATTTTCTGGACCAATCTCCCATCAAATATCAATACAACATCAAGCAAACAAGTGATGAGAATAAAGAAAACTATCAATTAAGGGATTATTAGTTGATCCAATACCAAATTCTTTAATTGTAAGAATTGTCCATCATAAGAATTGTATGGCAGACAGTAACAAGAATTACTAATTAGATTTTTCAGTCAGAGTGTTAAAGTGCTTAACCCTTCAACTCCCAGATCAAATTTGTAATTCTCCTTGCTGTCAACTATGCAATTCCTATGATGTTAGTTCAGAGAATTTAGTGTTGGATCAACTTAGTATCCCCAAATTATCGTCTGTTAAGTGCTGTGGTTTGTAATCATTAGAAACTGTGGCTAATGTGGATGACACTCTTGCGGAGATGTTTCTGGAAGAAATACCACCTACAGAGGAACAATTAATTGTAGGTATTTTGAAAATATTAGGGCTGGTATATGGATGAATGGATTGAGCTGTATATTCGATAGATTTCCTCTCTCTATATTGGGCTGAATTACATACGCATTTTGAGTGGTTCATGCCCATGATATATAGAACAGACGTACAGATTATATCACTATCAACGACATTTTACGTTTTTATCATATAACACAAATACTGTTGATTCTAACATGGTCATTTGTTACTATCAGCTGAGTTGATAACGTAAATTGGCCACCGTTAAGAATTTCAAAGCTGACGTTTCGAGCGTCAGCCCTTCGTCTGAGCGAATGACGAAATGCTAACGCTCGAAACGTCGGCTTTGAAACTCTTAACGGTGGCCAATTTGCGTTATCAACCAATTTCAACAATTGATAATACCAAATTACCTTGTTATACTCTCCCAGCAACGCAGCACCACAGTTTCTTTGGAAACGTACCCCTTGAGCCTATGTTGCAGTGGGTTTGAATTGTAAGGAATCGCAGAATGAAGAAAAGCCGGCAGGCTCCCCCTCCCGGTCCCCTTAGCTCAAGGTCTGGATCCGCCACTGATGTAACTGCAGCTGAATAAGGCTTGATAATACTGTAAGATTGCTTTAAACTCGCAGAACAAGAACTCCATCCAAAACTCACCCTAAGAAATGTTTATTGTATTAGGCTGCCATTCGCCGAGCGACCATAAAGAGATGCTTCACTCCAGTTTTTGTTGGGTCCGCACTGAAGAACAAGGGGGTCCAGGTCAGTGGTTGAAAAAAGAATGGGACAATCTTTTTTTTTTTTTTTTTTTTTTTAACAAGAAGATTCGTCAGAGAATAACTGTAGTTGCTGGCGAAGATTATTGAACCCCAGTCAGATCACCTTATTTTTAACCAGATGCGTGCTCCACCTCAAAGCCACAGAAGACTTGATCGATACGATGCATAGATAAGGCCGAGTAGGATGAATGTCGTAACTAGGAGGCAAAATCCTAGAAAGAGAAACAACAATGGTTTGACATAACAAAAGAAACGAAAACAAACAAAATTTTTTTATTTTGGCAATATTTTAGCAAAATACATAATAAACAATCCCTACCTGCAAAATAGCGAAGCTAATCGAGGCGGGAGGGAAACACACACAAAAATAAATTCTTCAATAACAAGTTTGAATGAACAAAGGAAATGACAAGGAGAGCTTTCATATACACAAACAATGAAAAACAGTTCACAATAGTTTACAGATAAGCCAATTGGGCATTACACATTACAACTGGAATAAAATTACACGCGGAAAAAAAAAATTTCCTAAATTTATCAATTAAAGTATAAACATCAACTAAGTATCCTCTCGCATCCAAATGTTCAGCAGCTGTCTATACAATAGTCTTTTAAATTTATACATAGGTAGAGAACGAAGACAGGTGGGAATGCTATTCCAGATCCTTGCGCCCAGTCTGGAAAATAATTTTTCATAGTTCTGTTCTCGAATGTTTAAGATAGGAGTTGCCAGCCGCTGAGGACGTTGTATAATAGTGACGTTTTTCTAAAGAATAACTAAATAATTCTGAAATGTAAGGAGGCGTAAGGTTGTAGACAAAATCATGCATGAAAGAGCAGATTGTTTTGAAATAGATCAGATGAAGAAGAAGTATACGAGTGGACATTTTGCTCATTGCTTCTATTTTTCTTCGCCCCGACGAGGCTTCGAAAAAGACAACACAACTCGCAAAATATTATATGTATTATACGTTAAACCATCTATTAAGGTGAATGTATTGGACACGCCAACAGGTCTCACTGCATTAAAAATGTTTTTCTGTCCATCAGCCTCTCCTTGATGGTGTTGTGGATTACCTGCCTGAACCTTTTGAGGTGACAAATTTTGCCTTGGATGCTGAAAAGTAAGAAGTCAAATTTATTTGCACCGTTACAAATATCATTTTTAGGTGTAGTTAATGTAAACAACATGATACTTGTCAGGAAATTTGGGACAGCTGCGTTTCGAAATAATTATTATTTTAAAGACCCGTGTGCTTATTAAAGAGATGTTTCATTTACTGTAACAAGATTGTTTTATGTCTCTGCAAATTCAAAGAAATTTAGAGTAAGGATTAATTTCACAGATCAGGAAAACAGAAAATAATGAAAGCATTATTGGTACATAATAGATTGGATTTAGCGATGGATATTTACGTGATTTTCTCTTGTTGGTAGTTTCCAAGTTGAATTGGAATTCGAAGTTTTAGTTTTTGTGAAAGCCAGAGATATTTGAGAGAAACTATCAGATCACGAACACCAACCAACTACTGCCTTGAAGAAATATAAATATGTTTGCCCATTAATCTCTGTTATGACAAGAGGATTTGGTTTTCTCAACTTGAGTTAAGTTTGTAATGTAAATTGGTCACCGTGGAGAGATTCTAAAGCTGACATTTCCAGCGTTTGCCCTTTGTCAGAGCGAAGGGTCAATGAACTCCGTTGATGAAACCAAATCAGTATCTTGTAATACCTAAAGGGGGTAAGTTTCTAAAGAAACTGTGGTGCTGCGTCGGTGGGAGAGTATTACAGGAGATTGTAACTGACGTTTCGAGCGTTAGCCCTTCGTCAGAACAAATGGCAAAGGGCTAACGCTCGAAATGTCAGCTTTGAAACTCTTAACATTGGCCAATTTACGTTATCAACTCAGTTGATAATACTAAATTACCCTATCTTGTAATAGCCCTCGCTAATGCAGCACCACAGTTTCATTAGAAACTTACCCCCTTTATTCATTAATCTCAGTTATAAACAAGCTCAAAACACAAAGCATGAAATTGTTATTGTCTAAGTGGATTTTTTTTTATCGTAGTGCTGGAGAGCAAGTGGAGATGAGCAGTGAAAGGAGTTCTTCTCATCCCTTCGTGGGTCTGGCTTTCAAGCTCGAGGTGAGGTGTTATATAAAGAGTTTTGTATGTAAACCACTTCTATGGAATAAATAACTGACTGCTTGCAGCGCATGCGTCTTATTGGGGCAGGTAACAAGCACGTTAGGGTTAGAGCAGAAGGTGGGGAGACTGGGAAATTTCTATTGCCCCACTCCCTCCCCTCTCCTTTCCTTTGACCGTCGCTCACCCCCTTGGAATAAAGTTCTCTCTTACCCTAGCCTTCCTCTGCCGTGAAAATCAAAGATGGCAGCCACAGCTTTCAACGAGAAAAGACTTGGCACTCGCTCGCCAAAATTACGCTTGCTCTGCAGGCTAATGATGAGAGGTAATTTCTGCAAGTGCGAGCAAGCGCTCTTTGATCTCACTACTCAGATAATTTTGGCGCTCTTAGTTTTCTGAGTCTCACGGTCACTGCAAGGTGTTAAAAGATTACGGGACTTACTGCAACGAAAGCCAAGTATGCTGAATTGTCGAGCCCTTTTCACCGAAGTTTCATTACGTTTTCGTCTGTTTGATTTCCTTACAGGCCGGAAGGTACGGTCAGCTGACTTACCTCAGAGTGTACCAAGGCTTGTTAAAGCGAGGGGCTTATATCGTAAATACTCGGACCGGGAAACGTCTTAAGGTGCCAAGGATCGTCCGAATGCATTCGGACACTATGGAGGTAACCGAAAAATACGACGATATGAAAATCTTATCGTCGTTTTTGTATTCTAACGACGCAATCAAGGAAAACAGGCTGACTAACTCTGATTAACCCTAACATCAGTATGCACATTCTCCATACTGGTCTCTATACATTTCCTAACGTGCTGGTAAGGAGAATTGGTTTAACAATCAAGAGGTTCTTTGTTTAATTATCATTTTTTTTTTTTATTCTCATAACCTTAATGTTTGATTCATGGGTGATATTGAAAGGAGAAAATAGATGCTGGTCACTCTCAGGAATTAAAGGGTTAACAGGATGGATCAATGGCAGTGTCTGAGGAACTGCGCGCCTATTCCTCCCCTAACCCAACAACAGTCAACTGACAACAAGGTGGGCTAGAGGAGGGGTATACATTGCTCAAGTTCTTGTAAATTCTCGCCAATTAAATCACCTTTAAACCGTAATGCCTAAAGCGCTGATAATGTAGGGGCCTGTTCACAGTCTAATGGAGCACATATTTTAGTAGCCCACAATTTTTTTAACGATTAGTAATATTACTCCTTCGTAGGATGTTCAAGAGGCTGGTGCTGGCGATATATGTGCCTTATTTGGAGTGGAATGTGCATCTGGGGACACTTTTACTGTAGAAGGAGCCAAATCACTCTCTATGGTAAGGGCCATTCACTACGGGTACGTGGCCCCCCCCACGGAGGGTGTGGGAAATCAGTTGTGGCTGACAGAGTCATGACTATTGAATGTTAACTGCCAATAAGGGGGGGGGGGGATTAGAGGAACATTACGGAGCCTAAGGGGGGATCAGGTAAACATAATCTTCCGACCCCTTCCCCCCCCCCCCCCCCCCCACCCAGGCGGCAATTAACGCTAAGAATGCTAATCCCTACTCCCTAATTCATAATTTTTTTTTTGTATGGTCTAATTCCTAATTTCTTTCAGAGGGAACAAGTACCCCCTCCCCCCTCCTCTTTGCCTTTTGCTCCCAACTTTGTAACTTAGTCGGTAATTGCGTCAAACTGGCTTCCGCGTGGCTTCTGCGGTGATTGCGAGAAACTGGCTTCAGAGTTAATCCGGTCGAAACCCGAATTCTTGTTTTTTCTTTCATCATATTTTTAATTGAATCATTCCTTTGAGGACCAGCTCGTGTCTCCGCATGTGTCATTCACAAGTCAAATTTAACTTATTTCATCAATCATACCCTTGTTTTTACAATACTTCCTCAAACGTAAGAGTTAGTGAGCGAGTGGTCACGTTTCATTATTCTTCACATGTATTTGCGAGCTTAAGACTGAAAAAATTGCACTTTGCTCGCTTCTATCACGTGGTTTTGTTGGTTGTTTAAAGTGCCTGGGACTGTCAATCAATAAAGTTTATACTCTTCTTTACAAGTATCCCAGACTGTCCTTATGAAGAAAATGCCTCGAAAAAACTCACTGTAAGGGTTAATATTTGCTGCTAATACCTCACACTACACACCACCCTTCCCTGTTTCTTTGCAAAATATAAGGATTCAAGGCAAAAATATGATGATCGCAACTATTGAATTTCGAATGTAACGCGGTTATGGGAAACAAAAAAATATTATTTCATGCTTTTTGTTGCAGGAACCAATTTTTGTTCCTGATCCAGTTATTTCGCTCGCTGTAGAGGCAAAGAACAAGGTGAAAACTAATCGTCTGAAAGTCTTTATTATCGTAAATTGTATGTTACTGTACACCCTTCTGAAGTAACTGGCTTAGCACTGAGTTCTCTTTTTTAGCTTGCGAGCGGAACAAAATATGAGCGTTGCAGTAAACGCGTTTTGCCGCCCTCTGAGTCTGGCACTAATGATCAGTGCTAGACCACTTAAAAACCTCTCGCGGGCTCGCATCGCTCTAGACCTCATTCTTTCGTGCGGGTGAAGGAACCCCCGTGTTGAAGCGCTTTTAATGAAGGCCTGTTCTTGGGACAAGAAGGTAATTTATTATTATCATCTATAACTTAAATTCGCTACCGTAAAAGAGTTCAAACCTGACGTTTCCAGCGTTAGCCCTTCGTCAGAGCGTGGGGCTAACGCTCAAAATGTCAGCTTTCAAACTCTCTACGTTGGCCAATTTACGTTATCAACTCAGTTGATAAGAGCAAATTACCTTGTTATACTCTCCCACCGACGCAGCACCACAGTTTCTTGAGAAACTTACCCCCTTTTCTCTCAGGATAGGATCTTATTTTGGGTTATTTTGTTGCGCTCTTGGGCAAGACAATTTGATCTCAAAACACTCTCAGGAATATAATTTGGTTTTGGAATCATGAAAAGCATGCGAGACATTCTTAAGTCTCTTCGTGCCGCATAAGTCGTGAACATACCTGCCTTAAAAATCTCTAATGCTATAGAGGTAAACGATTTATCAACCATTTGATTCGACTTGTTTCTGTTTAGAATGATTTAGCTCAGTTCTCCAAAGCTCTTAGTCGATTCTCTCGTGAAGACCCAACATTTAGAGTGAGTTTCGACGATGAAAGCAAGGAGGTAAGGAAACTTTTGCGAAAAATAAATTTGTATTCAAAACTCTTGAAATTTCACCTCTCTCCCGTGTTCTTCTGTTAGCGAGGCTTGTTTTAACTATCGAAATTTAGTACAAGTGCTTCCTGTCAATGGGTAAGTCGCAGAACAATACTTTTCCCAATGAGGGTTAATCCTTTTAGTGATGTTTTGTTTTTCTCATCTTTGTCAGACTATCATTTCTGGAATGGGAGAGCTTCATTTGGACATATACACCGAGGTGAGGGCGGCATTATGAACATGTGAAATATGGGCGATAGTTAATTCTACGCCAGAGGTGTCATAACGCTTTCTGCGCGCGACTAATTAACAACTGTTTCCCTCAGAGTCGGTGGCTAGGGATGGATTTTTATCAAGCCGTGACACTGGGGTAAATAGTTGTTTTAGCATGTACTAAAACAGTGAGATAGTATAGCACTAAAAGATGATTTAACTCGTTGTTTCCTGTGACGAGTATAATATTTTAGAGCGCGAGCTGCTCAGAGGTGGCTAGAAAGGATATCCGGAATTTGAGTAGCCAATCAGAGCGCGCCTTCAACGCTATCAACTAATACTTGCTTTTATTTCTGTTAACCTTTGAATAGTCCATTTTACAGTTGTGTGCTTGGTTGCCAAGCCTTTGAACAGGAATGAGGCTAAGGGTGATTTTGTTATGATACAAACCTTGCTGCTTTTCAAATGCAAATTACTTTGTTATCATGCTAACTAGATACTGGTCTCTATCACAGCAAGGTCACCTTCAGCCTCACTCCAAATCAAAGGCATGGCAACTAAGTACATAACTGTAAAATGACTTGTTGTCCTTTCTGGCTGCTGCACAATTCCTTGTAGATTAGTTACTAGAATTTGGTGTTAGATAAAGTTAAAAACCTCTGCTTGATAAGTTTGAGTATTCTCATTACCTGTTTGCTGGATAATGTATGGATATTGTAGGGAGAAGTTACATGTTCATCACAGCTGGGAGGTTAATGAAACATTGCTGCTTGTTCGGTTCTCGAAACAGGCGTTTGTTAGTTTAACCCTTTAACTCCCAGATCAGATTTGTACTTCTGCTCACTGTCAACCATACAATTCTTATAACGTTTGTTCAGAGAATTTAGTATTGGATCAACTAATTATCACCAAATTTAAATTTTTTTCTTTATTCTCATCACTTATCTGGTTGATATTGAGTTGATATTGTAAGGAGAAATTCTGTCTTGGTCACTCATGGAAATTAGAGGGTTAACAGCAACGTAATTTGTTGCCCTCGTTTAAGTGTTTAAGCAGTACAAAGAAAAGGCAGTCAATGATAATTTTTGAGGGAGTAATTGAAGGCGACTCGAAATTCCCTATGATTTGATGATTAAAAACTATTCACCGAAGTGGAAGAGGCTATGGGTGGATATTTACCGGACCGCGAAATGGTGAATGAAACATCCACTGCCAGCTACTGAGGTTGAGGTAAATAGTTATTTTAGTACATACTAAAGCAGTAAGATATACATCCAAAAGAGATGATTATGACTCATTTATTACTGCAACGTTCGGCGAGTTACTCGGAAGTGAATTGCAACGGATATTCAGAGTTTGAGCAGCCAATCAGAACGCGCCTTCAACACTATCTACTGTTTTAGTATGTACCTAAGGGGTATAATCGCACACAATTTGATGCGTTAATGTCGACTTTATTATGTTTAACTTTCTAGGGTGACAATGTATAATTACCATGACAAAAGCATTTCCTCAACTTTAAAGCTAACACTTGATGTTACCTACATGTTACCTTAAGCTTAGAGTTACTATAAAGTTACTTCAAAGTTGCTATTGCGTATTATTATCATCTAAAGCAATACGCGATTTTCGTTTTTTTTTTTCACAGAGAATGCGAACAGAGTTTAACTGTCCTGTAATATCCGGTAAACCCAAGGTAGCCTTCAGAGAAACAATAAGCGGAAAGGCCACGTAAGTGATCAACATCTAATTTCTCTTAACTTTTTCATAACAATTTGCAGAAGAGGGTTTGTGAGAATAGCAGGTAAATTAGTGTCAACAACTGAGTTGAAAGTGTAAATTGACCACCGTAAAGAATAAAAAAGATAACATTTCGAGCGTTCGCCCTTCGTCAGAGCAATTGATTTATGAGAATGTTGACACTTAGCAGTTGAAGAGAGTTATCTCCATGTAACACTGTATTCTCTCAACTAATTTGCTGGAAAACGTGAAGGAACAAGAATGGAGAATTTCTTATTAGATCGTAGTAACCAAATGTCAAATGGTTGAATTTTAGGTTTGAGTATCTTCATAAAAAGCAAACAGGAGGAGCTGGCCAATATGGCCGAGTCATCGGCAGAATCGAGGTATTTGACAGCAAATTCTTCTCGATAACCTGGTAGAGTAGTTTCCAACTGAGTCTCAAAGGTGATTTGGAATTGCAGTAGTTTTGCTTTTGAACGCTCTGTGATTGGTCAAAAAAAACTTGCATCACTCTCTCAACCAATCAGGTGAAAGAGTAAATCCAATCATGACTTGACGGCGGTTTGCTAGTTGACTGTTAGCTCTCTGTGATCTGTTACTTTGTTGTGATAGGCCTGCAATGATTAGGTTGTTTAAGGTTTGTGGCACTCAGTTGAGAAGCATTCTTTCAGTGTCCGTTTTTTTACATACTTGTTTTTTGCATGTTTCTGTGCTCTTTTGTTTTTGTATCAGTTGAGATGGACTCTTCCAGTGTCCGGTTTTTATATGCTTTTTTTTTGTTTGCTTTTTACTTTTGTCTCAGTTTAGAAGCACTCTTACAGTCTTATACTTGTTTTTTCATTTGCTTTTAGCTTTTGTCTTTTTTTATCTAGTTTAACTTAATGTTACTCAGAGTACCTAAGTGAAGTTTCAGCGCCATTCGTAAACCAACGTCTGTCTTGCGTTCACTTTTTGCTTCTTTTCTTTTGTCTTTGTTTTCCTTTAGTTTGCTTGGGTTGCTTTGCTTTTTTTTCTTCCATCTGCATTTCACTTTTCCTCTTCCTTCCAGCTGTCACGCCCTTATCCCTGAAATAAAACAATGACAAGAGCAGTGAAACTAAAACGTTGAAGATCCCCCTAGAGAGACCCATTAGACGTATTGTAACCGGAGGGGGAGGGGGAAGCATCGAATTCCTAATTTCTCCACATGAAAAATCTCATCGTCGTTATGAGGAACCTAATAGAAGGTCTAATTGCTATGGGAACTTGTCTTCCCCGTTCCACAAGGGTGTGTTGCGTAAAAAAGGGCTGTTCCCCTCCTTCTATTGGTATGAAGAACCTAACCAGGCGAAACATTTCCCCCCTCTTAATCTTTAGATATTCCTCCAATCCATGAGTGAGAGACATGTTGATTTCTTGTTCGTTGTTTGCAGCCTATGCCACAAGAATCCCTCACAGAGCTCGAATTTGTCGATGAAACTGTGGGCATGAACATCCCCAAGAATTTTATTCCTTCTATAGAAAAGGTAACTGCAACTTGAAACTGTGCTTTTCAATTGGATGCGATTTATGAACATAAAAATTCGTTTCACGCGCACATCGATAGGTTAAACTTGCTCAAACATGTTTTTTGGTAAATGTTTTACTTCTCAGGGTTTCCTAGAAATTTGCGAGCGTGGCCTTCTCACAGGGCATAAGCTGGCTGGAATTCGTTTTGTCCTTGAAGATGGTAAGTTTCCAAATAAACGACAATCATCGCTCTCGTGGACGGGAAGCTGACACAAGTCATTAAATTTTTCCTATCCACT